CAATTACCTGCTTACCAACAACTTTCAAATTACTAACTGGTGTAGTAGCTGATGCAGTGCAACAGCATCTAGTTGAAAACAATCTCTTTCCACCTGAGCAGAAAGGAAACCGCCCCAACAGCAGAGGAACAAAAGATCAACTCCTAATAGACAAAAGGATCTTGGAAAACTGCAAGAGAAGGAAGACCAACCTGAATGTTGCATGGATTGACTACAAAAAGGCATTTGACTCTCTGCCACATGATTGGATAATACAGTGCCTAGAAATAACAGGAGTCAGTAGAAACATCAGAAAATTTTTGCAAAGATCGATGGCACAATGGAAGACACAGTTGCAGATCAATGGTGAGAGGCTGGGAGAGGTTAATATCAAGAGAGGAATATTTCAAGGAGATTCATTATCACCATTACTATTTGTTATTGCACTGTTTCCTCTGTCAACAATACTGAATAACTCAGGACATGGATATCAAACATCAAAAACATCTACCAAACTATCCCATCTCCTTTACATGGATGATCTGAAGCTGTATGGAAAAACATCATCTGAAATAGAATCGCTGCTCAAACTGTCCGTATATATAGCCAAGATATTGTTATGGAGTTTGGCTTGGACAAATGTGCCACACTTACTATCAAACAAGGAAAAGTAGTGAAAACTGAAGGAATCAAGATCCCCACGAAAATAACATAGAGTCTGGAACGAGGATAATACTACAAATACTTGGGTACTCTCAAGTCTGACAGCCAATCAAGCACACTGAAGTCAAGAAAAAGATTAGAGATGAATACATCAAGAGAGTAAAGAAGATCTTAAAGTCCAAACTCAATGGAGGAAATACCATAAAGGCAATCAACACCTGGGCAATTCCAGTCATTAGGTACACAGCTGGAATAGTGGAATGGACTCAAGCAGAACTAAAAGCAATCTTTGGATATTTAGGTTTAGAGTTTTTAGGCTAACCAGAAAAATAATGACAATAGAATCATGCCCTTCAATCCACGCATGACATTGATAGACTTTATCTACCAAGGCAAATAGATGGGCGTGGATGCTACAAGTACATCAGATGGTTGAAGAGGAAAAAATGGCTTTGGAAGAATATCTGAAGAACAATGATGAAGATGCACTGAAATTAGTATATCAGGAAGGCTTACTAACTACTGGAGAGACCAAACTGGCCTGCAAGAAAGACCAAATGAAGAACAGAATAGAGGCATGGGAAGACAAAGCACTACGTGGCCAATACATGAAAAAAATAGCTGGGAAAGCAGATAATAATAAAACCTGGCAATGGCTAAGAGCAGAAAATTGAAGAAAGAGACCGAGGGACTAATTCTGGCTGCACAAGACCAAGCCTTAAGGACAAATGCATACAAAGTCAAAATTGAGAAGACAGCAACAGACAGTAGTGCCCCGCCTATGCAAAGAAGCTTAAGAAACAGTGGACCACTTGGTAAGCTGTTGCAAGAAGATTGCACAGACTGATTACAAGCAGCTGCATGACAAAGTAGCAACAATGGTGCATTTGAAGATCTGCAAAAAATATCATTTGCCTGTAAGCAAAAACTGGTGGGATCATAAAATAGAGAAAGTCATAGAAATTGATAAAATTAAACTGCTCTGGGACTTCAGAATTCAAACAGACAAGCACCTGCAACATAACACCCCAGACTTAACAATTGTCGATAAGAAAGACAAAAAAGTCTGGATAATGGACGTGGCAGTGCCTGGAGATAGCAGAATAGAAGAGAAAGAACTGGAGAAGATAACAAAATACAAGACCTACAAATAGAAAGAGAAAGATTGTGGCAAAAGCAAGCAAGGGTAGTACCAATAGTCATAGGCGCCTTGGGTGCAATCCCAAAACAACTGGAGCACCACTTGAACACCATTGGCATTGACAAATTTGCTATTAGTCAAGTACAAAAGGCGGCCTTACTAGGAATTGCTTCATCCTGCCCACGATATCTGTAATACCAGCAACACCCATCTGCCATCCCAGGTCCTGGGTAGGGGCTCGATAGGTAGACAAAATGCCAAATCCATCGAACCTCTGGCTGACTGTGCGATGATCGATAATAATAATAATAGTAAAATTGGAAGGGAACCTTGGAGGTCATCTTATAGTCCAACGCCCCTTGCTCGGGCAGGAAACTCTCTTCCATTCGGACAAATGGCTGTCCAATAATATAATAATAATATAATCTCATCATCATCATCGATTCTGTAATACCATCACATCCCCTCTTCCTATCCCAGGTCCTGGGTAAGGACTCGATAGGTAGACAAACTGCCAAATCCAGTCTGAACATCTGGCTGACTGTGCGATGATCGATAATAATAATAATAAAGTTGTAAGGGATCTTGGAGGTCATCTAGTCCAACCCCCTTGCTCAGGCAGGAAACCCTATTCCATTCCAGACAAATGGCTGTCCAATAATAATAATAATAATAATAATAATCATCATCATCATCATCATCGATATCTGTAATACCATCAAACATCCACATCTGCCTATCCCAGGTCCTGGGTAAGGACTCCATAGGTAGACAAAATGCCAAATCCAGTCTGAACATCTGGCTGACTGTGCGATGATCCATAATAATAATAATAATAATAATAATAATAATAATAATAATAATAATAGTAAAATTGGAAGGGACCTTGGAGGTCATCTAGTCCAACCCCCTTGCTCAGGCAGGAAACTCTATTCCATTCCGGACAAATGGCTGTCCAATATAATAATAATAATAATAATAATAATAATAATAATAATAATAATAATAATAATAATAATAGTATCCTGTTTGGGGGGGAGTTGAACCACTTGGGGGCCCAGGGAGATTTATATTCACTTGGTTTCTTCTGTTGTCAAACGGAGGAGCGGACTGGAAGACTAACCCACAACTTTGGAAAAGGAGCTGGACCTCAGGAGGACCCCGGGCAGAGGAACCCCCCCTCCCCCCCTCTTCTCTCTCCAAGGGGGACCCCTCCCACAAGGAAAGAAAAGGAGCCCCCCCCCAAAGCTACAGACGTCCCCCCCCCGCTGCCCACCCTGGAAGGAGGACTCCTCCCACCAGCCTTTCCTCCCCCCCTCCCCAATTTCCCTGACCCCCCCCCGACGCCCCCCTGGATGGGAGGGGAAGGAGGGACCTGCCCCCCCCCGCTGGCGACCCCCGTCCAGGAGAAGCAGCCGACTTGGGGACCCACCTGAGTCGAGAGGGGATCCGGGCAGAAGAAAGGACGACCGCGCTCTGCCTGCCTGCTCCTCCGCCCTTTCGGTTTCGCTTTGAGACGGCCGCTAAAAAGAGCAGGGGGCGACCGGAAGGAAAGAAGGGCGGGTCTCGTCCTCCCTCCAGCTCTCCCCCCCCACCCGTCTGGGCCACCGGCCTCAGAGAGCCAAGCGGGGAGGGGAGGTCGATGGAGCCATCAGAAGAAGAAGAGCTGGCAGGGGCCTCGGAGGTCATCCAGTCCAGCCCCCTGCTGGAGCAGCAGACCTTTACAGTATGATAGAATGAGGGAGTGGGAAGGGACCTCGGAGGTCATCTCGTCCGACCCCCCCCCCCTTGTTCAGGCAGGAGACCCATGCAGAATTACAGGAAACAGTTGGAAGAGACCTTGGAGATCATCTAGTCAAGCTGCCAGCTCAAGCAGGAGACTCTTACGGAATTATAGAAGGAGGGAGTTGAAAGGGACCTTGAAGGTCATCTAGTCCAACCCGCTGCTCAGGCAGGAGAACCCTACGGAATTGCAGAATCACACAGTTGGAAGGGACCTTGGAGATTAGTAGTAGTAGTAAAGTTGAAAGGGACTTTGGAGGTCATCTAGTCCAACCCCCTGCTCAGGCAGGAAACCTTACACCATTTCAGACAAATGGCTGTCCAGTCTCTTCTTAAAAACTTCCAGTGTTGGAGCATTTACTGCTTCTGGAGGCAGGTTGTTCCACTGGTTAATTGTCCTCACTGTTAGGAAGTTTCTCCTTAGTTCCAGGTTGCTTCTCTCCTTGGTTGGTTTCCATCCGTTGCTTCTTGTCCTGCCTTCAGGCGCTTTGGAATATAGCTTGACTGCCTCTTCTTTAGGACAGCCCCTGAGATATTGGAAGGCTGCTATCCTGTCCCCCCCTTGTCCTTCTCTTCGTTAAACTAGACATACCCAATTCTCGCAACCGTTCCTTAGATGTTTTAGCCTCCAGTCCCCTGATCCTCTTTGTTGCTCTTCTCTGTACTCTTTCTAAAGTCTCAACATCTTTTTTATATCGTGGTGACTAGAGATCATCTAGTCAAGCCGCCAGCTCAAGCAGGAGAACCTTACAGAATTATAGAAGAAGGGAGTTGAAAGGGACCTCGGAGGTCATCTAGTCCAACCCCCTGCTCAAGTAGGAGAACCCTACGGAATTGCTTCAGATTCAGTTCCTCGGAGTGGATCCATTTTGCCTTCCGTTCCCACTTAGAACTGCCATACACATCAAAATTCAGATTTACCTTGAATTTCTTCATCTACATCAGTGGTTCTCAACCTTTTTAATGCCACGACCCCCAACTGGTCGTAAGTCGAGGACTACTCAACCGGTTGTAAGTCGAGGACTACTCAACGGGTGCAGCACCACTTGCAAAATGGGACTTTTGGCGGGCTCAGCAGGGCAGAGACAGCCTGGACCATTCCTATTGGCTTTGGAAAGCCAATAGAATTAGACTCTATTCAAGAGAGTCCATTCTATTGGCTTTCCAAAGCCAATAGAATAAAAGGGAGTAGCACAGCTAAGGAAAGGGGGGAAAAAATGGCGGACTGCGTTGTTTGGCGACCCCCGTGAAATGGTCGTTCGACCCCAAATGGGATCCCGACCCACAGATTGAGAACCACCGCTTTAAAGTAATTTTCTACTCTAGCGACATAAGACTCCCATCTTTCTGGGTGAGTAACGTCGAAGTCAGACAATCTCCCTATCTTCGCCATCCTTGCTTCTTACTCTAGGAAGGTGTCTATCAGCCATCTTACCTCCAGCGACGCTGTACGGGCAGGCCAGATGCTGAGTTTAACGCCGTCTTCCTCTCTCGAGGACTCTCGGGGTAAGCTTACAAGTCTTCTTCCTTAATCTTGTAAGCGATCCCACCCTCGTTGCCAGTGTTGTGTCCTCGAGAACCTCCAAGGTTCCTTCCAACTTTACTACTATTATTATTATTATTATTATTATTATTATTATTATTATTATTATTATTATTATTATTATTATTATTATTATCTTGTTGAGTCTAACAGCCCATATTCTCAGCAGCTCTCTCCGACACAACTCAGAGGCTCGCAGGCCTCTCTGCCTCCTTTAAGAGAATCCCCGGGCAAAAAGGTAACAAACTGGCGCGCTTCCGTGCCTTGTGCATGCGCGCAGGCTGGCGCCACTCAGTCCGGTCCCGGGCAGCTTGCAACAACCCGGGACCATTGCAACGTCCCGAGCCTGCTTTTGCAGGCTCGGGACACAACAGTGACCCTTACAGAATCATAGACTAACAGAGTCGGACGAGACGTCGGAGGTCATCTAGTCCAGCCCCCGGCTCCAGCAGGAGACCCTTACAGAATCATAGAATGAAAGAACTTGGAAGAGACCTCGGAGGTCATCTAGTCCAACCCCCTGCTCCAGCAGGAAGGAGACACAGAATCATAGAATAACAGAGTTGGACGACACCTCGGAGGTCATCTAGTCCAACCCCTGCTCCAGCAGGAGACCCTGAATCATAGAATGAAAGAGCTGGAAGGGACCTCGGAGGTTATCTAGTCCAACCCCCTGCTCAAGCAGGAGACCTTACGAAGCATGATAGAACTGGAAGGGACCTTGGAGGTCATCTAGTCCAACCCCCTGCTCAAACAGGAGACCCTGACAGAATCATAGAATGAAAGAGCTGGAAGGGATCCCGGAGGTCATCTAGTCCAACCCCCTGCTCGAGCAGGACACCCTTACAGAATCAGAGTTGGGAGGGACCTCGGAGGTCATCTAGTCTAACCCCCTGCTCAAGCAGGAGACCCTACGCAGCATGATAGACTTGCAAGAGTCCTCGGAGGTCATCTAGTCCCACTGAAGCAGCAGACCCTACACAGCACAATAGAGCTTGGAAGGGACCTCGGAGGTCATCTAGTCCAACCCCTGCTCCAGCAGGAGACCCTACACAGGATCGTAGAGTGACAGAGCTGGAAGGGACCTCAAAGGTCATCTAGTCCACCCCCCCCCCAGGCAGGAAATCTTATAAGGGCGATCTCCGCAGGCGGACAACAATCTCGCCCCCCCTCCCCAAGCAGGACCAACAGACCTTCTGGGCGGAACCTGCCCCCCTCCCCACTTTGGACAAAGGAAGCGCTGGGGGGGAGGGGCCAGCTTGGAAAAAGGGGGGGGGAAGGACGCCCATAACGTCCCATAAGAGACCGGAAATAAACAGCCTCCTTATGGGAAGTGACTCCACCTTTTCCTGAGGGGGGGGGCGCTGAGAGTCATTTTCCCCTCAATCACGTGGTTTCCAAGCAGCAGCGCCGCCCGGAGACTTTCGCTTTCCTTCGCTTTCACTTTCGGCTGGCTCAAGGCCTGGGAGACGGGGAGGGGGGGCAACGACCCCCTCCCGCCCCCACTTAAGCAGGGGACCCTTATAGAGTCGCACAATAAGAGAGTGGGAAGGGACCTTGGAGGTCATCTAGTCCAACCCCCTGCTCAAGCAGGAGACCCTACGCAGCATGAGAGAGCTGGAAGGGACTTTGGAGGTCACCAATCCAATCCCCTGCTCATACAGGAGACCCTGACAGAATCATAGAATGAAAGAGCTGGAAGGGACCTCGGAGGTTATCTAGTCCAACCCTCTACTGAAGCAGAGACCCTTAGAGAATCAAAGAATGACAAGTTGGAAGGGACCTCAGAGGTCATCTAGTCTAATCCCCATTTCAGGCAAGTGACTGCCCAGTCTCTTCTTATTGGGCCAGTAGAATCTGTGCCTTCTCCTTACAAAGCGTGTAAACCCAGTGAACGATATGCCCAAACGGTGTCACGACAGGGAAAACCACTCCGCAAAATGTAGAGGAAGAAATTCAAGGTAAATCTGAATTTTTGATGTGTATGGCAGTTCTAAGTGGGAACGGAAGGCTTCATCCAGTTGGGGATAAAATGGATCCACTCTGAGGAACTGAATCTGAAGCAATTCCATAGGGTTCTCCTGCTTGAGCAGGGGGTTGGACTAGATGACCTCCGAGGTCCCTTTCAACTCCCTCCTTCTATAATTCTGTAAGGGTCTCCTGCTTGAGCTGGCGGCTTGACTAGATGATCTCTAGTCACCACGATATAAAAAAGATGTTGAGACTCTAGAAAGAGTACAGAGAAGAGCAACAAAGAGGATCAGGGGACTGGAGGCTGAAACTTATAAGGAACGGTTGCTAGAATTGGGGATGTCCAGTTTAACGAAGAGAAGGACGAGGGGGGACAGGATAGCAGCCTTCCAATATCTCAGGGGCTGCCCCAAAGAAGAGGGAGTCAAGCCGTTCTCCAAAGCCCCTGAAGGGAGGACAAGAAGCAACGGGTGGAAACTAACCAAGGAGAGAAGCAACCTAGAACTAAGGAGAAACTTCCTGACAGTTAAAACAATTAACCAGTGGAACAACCTGCCTCCAGAAGCAGTAAATGCTCCAACACTGGAAGTTTTTAAGAAGAGACTGGACAGCCATTTGTCCAAAATGGTGTAAGGTTTCCTGCCTGATCAGGGGGTTGGACTAGATGACCTCCATGGTCCCTTCCAACTTTACTACTACTACTACTATCTCCAAGGTCCCTTCCAGCTGTGTGATTCTGCAATTCTGTATGGGTGTCCTGCTTGAGCAGGGGGTTGGACTAAATGACCTCTGAGGTTCCTTCCCACTCTGTGATTCTGCAATTCTGTGTGGGTCTCCTGCCTGAGCAGCAGGTTGGACTAGATGACCTCTAAGGTCCCTTTCAACTCCCTCCTTCTATAATTCCGTAAGAGTCTCCTGCTTGAGCTGGCAGCTTGACTAGATGATCTCCAAGGTCTCTTCCAACTGTGTCCTGTAATTCTGCATGGGTCTCCTGTCTGAACGGGGGGGGGGGGGTCGGACGAGATGACCTCCGCGGTCCCACTCCCTCATTCTATCATAATGTAAAGGTCTGCTGCTCCAGCAGGGGGCTGGATTGGATGACCTCCGAGGCCCCTGCCAGCTCTTCTTCTTCTTCTTCTGATGGCTCCATCGACCTCCCCTCCCCGCTTGGCTCTCTGAGGCCGGTGGCCCAGACGGGTGGGGGGGGAGAGCTGGAGGGAGGACGAGACCCGCCCTTCTTTCCTTCCGGTCGGGCCCTGCTCTTTTTAGCGGCCGTCTCAAAGCGAAACCGAAAGGGCGGAGGAGCAGGCAGGCAGAGCGCGGTCGTCCTTTCTTCTGCCCGGATCCCCTCCCGACTCAGGTGGGTCCCCAAGTCGGCTGCTTCTCCTGGACGGGGGTCGCCAGCGGGGGGGGGCAGGTCCCTCCTTCCCCTCCCATCCAGGGGGGCGTCGGGGGGGGGTCAGGGAAATTGGGGAGGGGGGGAGGAAAGGCTGGTGGGAGGAGTCCTCCTTCCAGACTGGGCAGCGGGGGGGGGACGTTTGTAGCTTTGGGGGGGGGCTCCTTTTCTTTCCTTGTGGGAGGGGTCCCCCTTGGAGAGAGAAGAGGGGAGAGGAGGGTGGGGGTTCCTCTGCCCGGGGTCCTCCTGAGGTCCAGCTCCTTTTCCAAAGTTGTGGGTTAGTCTTCCAGTCCGCTCCTCCGTTTGACAACAGAAGAAACCAAGTGAATATAAATCTCCCTGGGCCCCCAAGTGGTTAAACTCCCCCCCAAACAGGACACTATTATTATTATTAATAATAATAATAATATTATGGATTATCGCACAGTCAGCCAGATGTTCAGACTGGGTTTGGCATTTTGTCTACCTATCGAGTCCTTACCCAGGACCTGGGATAGGCAGATGTGGATGTTTGATGGTATTACAGGTATCGTCGCAGGATGGAAGCAGTTCCTAGTAAGGCTGCCTTTTGCAATTGACTAATAGCGAATTTGTCAATGCCAATGGTGTTCAAGTGGTGCTCCAGTTGTTTTGGGATTGCACCCAAGGAGCCTATGACTATTGGTACTACCCTTGCTTGCTTTTGCCACAGTCTTTCTATTTGTAGGTCTTTGTTTTTGTTATCTTCTCCAGTTATTATTGTTGTTGTTGTTGTTTTTATTTTTATTGTTTTGTTTTTCTTTTTTATTGTTGTTATTGTTATTATTTTTGTTTGTTTGTTTGGTTTGTTGTTCTTATTATTATTACTATTATAACCATTATTTTGTATCGAGAAAAAGATATGAGCCCACAACATCCTCAATTTCAACCGTGTGAATTCACAAGCTTCCTCTTTCCAATGTGTATTATGCATAATAATTAATTTATAATAATATTAAAAGGAATGATTGTAATTATTTCATCTGGTATGACGTGTGTGAGTTCCGGCACCCTTTTTTTATATACAAAAAAAGGATAGATAGATAGATAGATAGATAGATAGATAGATAGATAGATGATAGGATAGATAGATAGATAGATAGATGATAGGATAGATAGATAGATAGATAGATAGATAGATAGATAGATAGATAGATAGATAGATAGATAGAGGTAGAGATAAATTGATATAGATAGAGATAGATATGATATAGAGATATAGACAGAAATAGAGATGGATAGATAGAGAGATACATAGATAGATAGATAGATACATAGATAGATAGATAGATAGATAGATAGATAGATAGATAGATAGATAGATGTAGAGATAAATTGATATAGATAGAGATAGATAGAGATAGATAGACAGAAACAGAGATAGATATATCTCTGTTTCTGTCCGAAATGGTCTAGGGTTTCCTGCCCGAGCAGGGGATTGGACTAGATGACCTCCAAGGTCCCTTCCAACTTTATTATTATTATTATTATTATTATTATTATTATTATTATTATTATTATTATTATACAGAGATATAGATAGATGATAGTTCAAAATAGATATGATAAAGATAGAAATAGATAGATATAGAAATAGTAAGATAGACAGATAGATGATAGAAATAGAGAGAGAGAGAGAGAGAGAGAGAGAGATAAATAATTGTAAGTCATAGACTCCCTTATTGCCTTTCCCCTCCATTAACCTAATTAACAATGGAAACAGAACGTATATAAATAGAACGTGAAGAGATTATTTACATAAATATGCCTGGACCCCAAATGGTTAAACTCCCCCCCCAAACAAAACCCTTTTTTTTAATGGGGGGGGGAATCCACCTGACTTCCCAGCCCATAATATCCTCTTTTCATGGCTGCCCCGGGATTTCCTAAACCGCTCCGCCCTGAGAGAGCAGAGCTGAAACAGCAAAAGGGGAGAAGTCGCTGGGGCTTTTTGGTGAGTGTGTGTGTGTGTGTGTGTGTGTGTGTGTGTGTGTGTGTGTGTGAAGAGGTCCAGGAGGCCCAAGGACCCCCCAGCAATCTGGAAACCCCCCCCCCATTTTTAAGCCCTGCTACTGCAGCCGTTAGCTCAGCCCGGCCATACCTTCCCTAAAGGGACTGGAAATTAGGATTGTTTTTGAAGACAGGCGGGAGTTCCACATTTCAGTCGCTAAATGGGGGTTGTCCCGTGTTAACGACCATTCTTGCCCCCTGTTGTTCGGTGAATCCCTGCAGTTGTTAAGTCAGTCAGCCAGTCGTGAAGTGAATCGGGCTGTCCCCGTCGCAAAAGGGGATCGCGGCGTCCCCCGGACACGACAGGCGTCATAAAGACGAGCTGGTGGCCAAACACTTGAATTTTAGTCACCGGGCCCCAGGGCATGTGGCAACTGTTGTAAGTGTGAGTCGTTTTTTTTTCCCAGTGCAGTTGTAAGGTGCCTGGCAATGGCTTCGTATTTGTGACCGTGGCCGTGGCTCCTTTTGCGGCCTTCCGCCGAGCCATGTCAACGGGGAAAATCCGGGTTCGCTTAACAAGCGGGTGACCAACGGCGATCCACTTAAGAGCTACGGCAAGGAAGGCGGGAAAATGGGGCCCAACGTACTTAAGCGACGCCTCGCTTAATGACAGAACTGTGGAACGCCCCGGTGGTTGTAACTCAAGGACTGCCTGTATTTAGGTTTGCCAACGGGCGGTCTTTGGCCTCATCTCTCCTCCCCTTTCTTTCTTCTCTGCTCTTTCTCCCGTGCTGCTGCGCCTTCCCTTGCTTCCGAAAGATGCACTCACTCGCTCACTCTTGAAGCACTCACTCCCTTCTCGCTTTGCTCGTTCCTTCAGAGACCCTGAAGATCGGCGGAAGAGACTCCAGCTGCTGGCAAGATGGGTGCGGCTGAATCAGGTGAACCTCGGTTAGGAGAAGGGTGGGAGGTGCTGTCTTCTGACGCTGCCCTTCGGGAGGGGGGTCTCGGCTGCAGCCTGCTACCGGTCCGTGGCCGATTCACAACCGGGCCCCGTGAGTGACTGACTGGTGCGCGCGTGTGTGCTCGTGGGCACAGCCCCATTCACGCGAACGTCGCGGGGGTATTTGGGGCCTCACTCACGCAAGTGTTGCGAGTGTTCTGGGCCTCACTCGTATGTCACACTCTTGTGCGAGGAACCAAGCCCTTGAGCGGCTGGCTGGTTCGTGCGTGTGTATGCAGGCACACAGCTCTACTCATGCGAGGCTTGCAGGTGCTAAGGGCCTCGCGCGAGTCTCGCAGGCGCCAAGTGCCTCACTCCCACGAATCTTACAGGCACTAAGGGCCTCACTTGCGCGAGCCTCACAGGCACTCTCAGCCCCAGTAAACAACCGGGCCCTTGAGAGGCTGGCTGGTGCGCATGTGTGTGTGCACATCCCCACTCGTGAGCATCGCGGGCGTTCAGGGCCTCAAATTGCGCAAGCGTCGCAGGCGTTCGGGGCCTAAGACAGAAACGTGTGGTACCAACACTGCTTACTTCCCTCCAAGTGGACATAGCACCCTTAAGGAGAACTCGTTTTGAGTACGGCTTCGTCAGCCCGCTACAAATCCGTCGGGTGGCGATGCTGCGTGTCCCACATTTTTTTTCTAGCTTACCAAGAAGTAGGTTGTGGTTTACTCTCCTGAACGCCTTGCTGAAACCCAGGTATGTGTATCCACAGCATTTCTCTGATCCCCTATTTTCTTTCACCTCGTGGAAGAAGACACAAAAGTGTGTCTGTTTTGCACAAAGCCATGTTGGCTTTTGGTTATGACCTTGTTTACCTCTAGGTATTTGCCAGATCATCGTCGCTTGATTATCTTTTGCAGAATCTTCCCAGGGAATGCTGTATGGCTAATAGGCCTGTAGCTTCCTGGGTCAAAAACGGTGCCGTTTTTGAGAGGTGGGATTATTTATTCTCGCCTATGCCTAATCTGTTTTTTACGGTGCCGTTTTTGAGATGCAGGGCTGTTTATTCTCGCGTATTTTGACTCGTATTCCGATTCTGTTTTTTACGGTGTCGTTTTTGAGAGGCAGGGCTGTTTATTCTCGCGTATTTTGACTCGTATTCCGAATCTGTTTTTTACGGTGCAGTTGTTGAGAGGCGGGACTGTTTCTTCTCGCCTATTTGGACTCGAGTGAAGCAGCTGTGCTTTCTCCCTGTTGCGCATCGCCTTCTTTTTGCCGTTTTCTCCCCTCAGTTCTCTCCCGTGCGAGCAACGGGACGCCGCTGACCGATTTGTCCCTTTCTCCCCCTTCCAGTTCCAGACCTGAGGATCGTCCTGGTCGGCAAAACGGGCAACGGGAAAAGTGCCACCGGCAACACCATTTTAGGGAAGAAAGCCTTCAAGTCCAAGATGGTGGCCAGGTCCGTCACTGCCAGATGTAAAATGGCCACGGGGACCCTCCCGGATGGAAGGACTCTGGGTGTGATTGACACGCCGGGCTTTTTCGATACGACATACCCAACGCCGGTGACCCTTGCGGAAGTGAAAAGATGCTTGACCTTGTGCTCCCCGGGTCCCCACGTCATCATCCAAGTCATCCGTCTGGGCCGTTTCAGCCAGGAGGAGAAGGAGGTGGCTAAACTCCTCAAAGACATCTTCAGCCTGAAAGCTAAGAGTTACATGATCGTCTTATTCACCCGGAAGGAGGACCTGGAGGGGCGCTCTCTTCACGAAATGCTGTCTGGGGATGACGAGAGCTTTCAGGAGCTGAGGGATCAGATTCAGAGTTGTGGGAACCGGTGCCTGGCCTTCAACAACAGGGCGGTGGGGCAGGAACGGCAGGATCAGGTCGACGAGCTGATCCGGATGGTGGACGAGCTTGTGCGCCAGAACAAATCCAGGCCCTTTTACACCAAGGGCATGATGGAGGAGGACAAAGAGAGCGTCCCCGGATGGCTGTGCAACATCCTGTGATCCTGGAGCTCCGAATGGACACGCCCAGGGGTAGGCCACCTCGGCTCTTGGATGACTCGTGGACTTCAACTCCCAGAATTCCTGAGCCAGCCATGCTGAGGGGAAAGGGAGGGGTTTCCAAGCTGAGCCAGCTTGGCTCAGGAATTCTGGGAGTTGAAGTCCACGAGTCATCAAAGAGCCAAGGTTGCCGACCCCTGGACACGCCCTTCTGGCATGTCTGGACCGGAGAAGGTGGCCCTGGATCCCTTGGGCTGCGCCATTATCCCAAAGGCGCGGTTTTCTCGTCTTCCCCAAAAGGCCACCGGACTGTGTTTTTCCCCTGAAGACATTTCGCTTCACGGCCCAGAAGCTTCCTCGGTCCTGGCGGGTGTTCGATTCGGACCGAAGAAGCTTCTTGGGATGAGATGTCTTCTGAGGAAGAACACAGAGAAAATACAGTGGCCTTTTGGAAAAGCACCTTTGGGACAGCCCGGGCTTGGATGACTGAGAATCTCCAGAGGTTCCGTCAGAATAGAACGGGAAGGGACCTCGGAGGTCATCTAGTCCATTCCCCTGCTCGAGCAGGAGGCCCCATACAATTTGAGACAGGTGGCTGTCCGGTCTCTTCTTAAAAACCTCCAATAAGCGCCCGCAGCTTCCGGTGGCAAGCAGTTCCACTGGTGAATTGTCCTCACAGTTAGCAAGTTTCTCCTTAGTTCCAGGTGGCTTCTCTCCTTGATTTAGTATCCATCCGTTCCTTCTTGTCCTGCCCTCAAGTGCTTTGGAGAAGAGCTTGACTGCCTCTTCTTTGGGGCAGCCCCTCTTTGCTATTACCGATTTCCTTAGCTTCGTATAACTGTAACTTTGCTCTTTGTATCTCATGATTATATCACTTGCTTTCTATTTAATATCCTATTTTGATTTATGTTGATTGCTTTTTATTTCGTACCCTCTGGCTATCACTAAGCCTTGTATCTTATGATTTAGGATGATCGCGTTTTATGATTTACGATCATGATTTACCACTTCTTGCTTGTACGCACACTGAGAGCTTAAGCACCGGAGACAAATTCCTTGTATGTCCAATCACACGAGGCCAATAAAGAATTTTATCATTTCTATTTCCATTTATTTCTATTTCCATTTATTTCTATTTGTATTGATTTCTATTTGTATTATTTCTATTTCTATTTATTTCTATTTGTATTTCTGTTTATTTCTATTTCTATTATTTCTGTTTCTATTTATTTCTATTTCTATTATTAATAATTCTATTTATTTTTATTTATTTTTATTTCTATTTTTATTTGTTTGTATATCTATTTATTACTATTTCTATTATTTCTAGTCTGTTATTTCTATTTTTATTTCTGTTATTTCTATATTTCTATTTCTTTTTCTATTTCTATTTCTATTTCTATTTATTTCTATTTGTATAATTTCTATTTCTATTTATTTCTATTTCTATTATTTCTATTTCTATTTATTTCTATTATTTCTATTTCTATTATTTCTATTTCTATTTATTTCTATTTATTTCCATTTCTATTTCTTCCTTCCTATTCCAGGGCTGAATCGTGGGTGTGTGTTTCTTGAGGGATATTTGGACCTTCAGCCCCGCGGGGTCTGAGGGGTCCCCCCTACCCACACACCCCACCCCACCCTACCACAATGCACTCGTAAGACAAATGACTTTTACAAACATGGTGGAAATTCGCATAGGCGAAACCGTGAGGGGGGGAAACCCTACACAAAGGGCTCAGCAAATTGTTTGGAAAAGGCTCCCCCCCACCGGAAGGCACTAATTCAGCAGGATGTTTTCCTGCCCTGGGTCCCGTTGCTGCTGAAGACGGGCGCAGGCCGCTGGTGGGGTGAGTCCGTGCGGTCTGCACGTTGCGATTCCTCACCAGCCAGTGGACCCGGCAGCTGAGTCCAAGGAATCAGAAGAGGAGGAGGAGGAGGGGCCTGGCATGATGTCAGAGTCAAGAGGAAGGGTCTGAGGAGCTCCAAGACTTAACAGTCAGATGAGCCTCTACTCCTCTACTCGCGTGCAGGCTGAGACGCAACCTGAGTTGGACAGTGATGAAGAACAGCTGGGACAAATCTCGGATGCACGAGTGCACCGGCAAGCAAAACGAGTAGGACAGAGGGATGCGATGGGGCAGTTCCAAAGGCAAACGAGAAGGCATTAGGAAGCCATGCCTGGGCTGCATAATAAAAGGGGAGGGGTGGGAGGTGCTGGCGGCCGAAGGCCACCGTTCGTGTTGAGGAATCGAGTTTCTGTGTGAACTGTGCTTTGTTTGCCTTGGACACGGACTCAGGTGTGTGAATAATAAAAGGGGATTGGTTTTTTTCCTGCGGTCCCTTGCTTGTTGGAAGAGGGGTTACTCCTTGTGAGCGTAACAAGGACTCGCGGGGGTTGGGAGAGAATGCGGCCTCTCAACTGAAGCACAGATTATTCCTGGGGGCACAACGCCCCATTCTTTTCCAGGTTGCCAGCCCATATGTGAGGGGAGGAGAAAAAGTGGGGGTAACTTTGCGGGAGGGGCAGGTGTGTGCACAGCACGAGTGCCCGCAATGTTCGCTGCGACGCTCGGGTGATCACGAGTGCTCACAACGAGGCTCGTGTGAGTGGGACCACAAGCACGGGCAACAACGCTCATGTGACACATTTGTGAGTGGGACCACAAGTGCTCACCATGAGGCTCGCGTGAGTGGAGGCAGCAATCGCCCACAAGGCACGCGCAAGGGAGGCTGCGACTGCCCACAATGCTTGCAGTAACCCTTGTGCTAGAAGGCACAGCTCCAGAACACGGTCCTTTCGGCAGTTCCAAGAAGGCCCCCACACACCCGTTTGCACCACTCGGGTGACTCCGAGGACACAGATAAGCCTCCAAGCAGCCTCAACGCTTCTCTAAAAGGAGGCAAATGGCCATCTGTCTGCAAGGAGGATAAATCCTTCCATTCCCCACCATCCGGTCCGAGCTGAAGAAGCTTCTTAGATGGGAAGTGAAACATCCTCAAAGGAAAAACGAGAAAAATCCAGTTGCCTTTTGGGAAAAAAAAAATCAATCATTCCTTCACATCAATTTCTAGCGTGGGTTCAGACCGTGTGTGTGTCCTCCGGTGATCCCATGCTTATCTCAGACAAAGACATTCCAAAGTGGCACGTAGCCAGGTTATCCTGTGATCCTACTGACGTGTTAACATGGGATTCATTGAATAGCTAAACTACATTACCCATAAGCCATCTCGTAAGGAGACAGCGCTTAACCTTAGCATGCCAAACATTCTAACATACAGACCCATCTAACTGGCTGATCCAGCACCACGGCGCTTGCCACCAGCAAGATGAGCGAAAAATGTTTAAAAAATACGTCAGTTAGATGTTGGCAATGTAAACCTAACTCAGGCACGTCTTATCGCAGTAGTTCTCAACCTTTTTAATGCCGTGACACCCAACCGGTCGTAAGTCGAGGACTACTAAACTGGTGCAGCACCGTTTGCAGAATGGGACTTTTGGCGGGCTCAGCAAGGCAGAGACAGCCTGGACCATTCCTATTGGCTTTTGAAAGCCAATAGAATTAGACTCTATTCAAGAGAGTCTCTTCTATTGGCTTTCGAAAGCCAATAGAATAAAAGGGAGGAGCACAGCTAAGGAAAAGGGGAAAAAAATGGCGGACTGCGTTGTTCGGCGACCCCCGTGAAATGGTCGCTCGACCCTAAATGGGGTCCTGACCCACAGGTGGAGAACCACTGGTCTATACTGACCATAAGCCTATGTTGGGCTTGTTTACCACTAACAAGCAAACTCCCCGGGTCATTTGTCCTAGAATGCTGAGATGGTCTATCTTTTTGTCAGCCTGTGGTTTTTCATTGGTTCACAAACCTGACAAGGAAATGGGCCACGCTGATGGCCTAAGTAGATTACCTTTACAAATCGTAGAGGCTGACCCTGCCCCGGCCATCAATATTCTTTCCATTCAGGCGTGGCCGGAGTCTCCCCTAAATGCCAGGGATGTGGTTGCTGAATCAGCCACGGATCTCACGCTTCCTCGTGTGCTGTCTTGGGTTTTGTCTGGATGGCCTGAGAGTTGTCCAGGTATTGAGTTCCAGAGTTTCTGGCTCAAGAAGCATGAGTTATCCACTTTCCAGGGTTGCCTGTTGCGGGGCAGCAGCGTAGTTATTCCCACCTCATTGAGACCTAGAGTCTTAGCTTCCCTCCACGAGGGTCATCCTGGCCTTGTCAGGAATAAAGCGCTTGCGCGCAGCCATTTATGGGGGGCAGGATTAGACAGGGAAATAGGGGCCCAGGCGCATGGATGCCAGTTGTGCCAGCGCTCACACCCTGAAATGCCTCAGGCTCCTGTGCATAGATGGGAGGAGACACAGTCACCTTGGTCGAGGGTGCATGTGGATTACGCTGGGCCCTTTCAGGGTCAATTCTTCTTGGTCCTGGTTGACAGCCATTCACAGTGGCTTGAGGTTGTTTATTTATTTTATTTATTTATTTATTTCTAAAATTTATATGCCGCCCAATCCCGAGGGACTCAGGGCGGCGTACAAAATTAAAACAATAAATATAACAATAAAACAGTAAAATAAGTACATTCATACAGCATGTCCAATCGTATCCCGCCCACCCCCCCCCCCGGGGACATCAGCCCCAGGCCTGCCGGAACAGGAGATTTTTAATGGCTTTCTTAAAGGCCGGCAAGGTAGGAGTAGTTCGAATCTCGGGGGGAAGTTGATTCCACCAGGTCGGAGCCACCACAGAAAAGGCCCTTCCCCGAGGGCCCGCCAGCCGACATTGTCTGGCCGACGGGACCTGAAGGAGGCCCAATCTGTGGGACCTCCGGGGTCTCTGGGAACTATGCGGCAGTATGCGGTCCTGTAAGTAACCTGGTCCTAAGCCATGAAGGGCTTTAAAGGTGATAACCAACACCTTGAATTGCGTCCGGAGACCCACAGGAAGCCAGTGCAGCTCGCGGAGGATAGGTGACACGTGGGCGTACCTTGGCGCACCCACAATCGCTCTCGCGGCGGCATTCTGAACCAACTGCAACCTCCGAACGCTCTTCAAGGGTAGCCCCATGTAGAGCGCATTTCAGTAATCCAGTCTTGAGGTGACAAGGGCATGAGTGACCGTGAGTAAAGCCTCCCGGTCCAAATAAGGCCGCAACTGGTGCACCAGGCGAACCTGGGCAAAGGTCCCCCCTGGCCACAGCCGATAGATGTTGTTCCAAATTTAGCTGTGAGTCCAGGAGGACACCCAAGTTGCGTGCCTGCACTGAGGGAGGTAAATTTGCCCCCCCCCAGGACTAAAGATGGACCATCCAATTGGCCTTTGGGAGGAAAGACCCAGAGCCACTCGGTCTTGTCAGGGTTGAGTCTAAGCCTGTTCACCCCCATCCAGACCCTCACATCTTCCAGGCACCGGCACATCCTGTCTCGTCCACCACTGCTGCCAAGACCATTCAAGTACTGAGAGGGATTTTTGCTGCACATGGCCTTCCAGATGTTCTGCTTTCTGACAATGCTCCTCAATTCACTTCTTTCGAGTTTCAGGCTTTCTTGCAGGCCA